ACTTTCAGCATGCATCTCCCATCCTGAACCACAACTTCTTTTTTTTTTCCCTTTATTTTATTTTATTTTTTTTTAAAGTTGTAGATTTACAATTTTTTGTGCTTTGGTTTCAATTATACAATGATCAGATACCCATCCCTCCACCAGTGCCCATTTTCCACCACCATGGATAATATCCCTCCCACCCCCATCCCCCCATCCCCCCTGTCTCTGTGGCAGGGCAATCCCCTGGAACCACAACTTCTTGATCCATTCATCTGTAGTTGGGGATTTGTGTTGTTTACATAACTTTTTTACTTTAATGAGTGATACAATGAATATAGGTGTATATATGTATACTTTAAAACTGATGCGTTGTTTTTGGAAGTAGCCATCAAGATGTAGTATCACTGGATTGAATGAAGTTTCATTCCTTCTCCTTTGTAGATCTTCAATTTTCCCACAGATTTTGCACGAAAGGCATTCCAGTAAGATTAAAGGAGACTTTATTGTGAATCACAGTCCCACCAGGACTGTTTTCCCCCTAGATTCCTTGGTATACCCTATTAATTCTCATTGGTGTAAGATGATGTCTCATTCTTTTTTTTTTTCAATTTAATTAAATTATTATTATTATTATTATTTCTTTTTGGGTCACACCTGGTGATGCACAGGGGTTACTCCTGGCTCTGCACTCACGAATTACCCCTTGAGGTGCTCAGGGGACCATGTGGGATGCTGGGAACAGAACCCGCGTCAACCGTGTGCAAGGCAAATGCCGTACCTGCTGTGCTATTGCTCCGGCCTCTCTTGTTTTGTTTTGTTTGTTGCTAATCACCCGTGATGAGACAGGAGTCTATTCTTTCACTTTGTTATTTTTTGGACACACAAGACGGTACTCAGGGTGCCGTCTTGACTTTGCACTCGGGAATTACTTCTGACAGTGCTCTTGGGTTCATATGGGATGCTGGGGATAGAACCCGGGGCATCTGTGTGCAAGGCAAACCCTAGCTGAACTCCTAGGACTCCAATACAGGATGCTCTATTTTTAAGTCTTTCAGAAGTCTGCAAACAATTTTTGCAAAAAGAGGCTGAAGCCAGTAACAGTCCTACCAGTACTGAATAGGAGGTAATTTTTCATAAAATCCCTGGCAGCACTCATGTTTTGGTATTTTTACATAGAGGGCATTCTTGCTAGTGGGCAGTACTATCTTTGCAGAGAAATAGAAGGAAAGAAATCATGAAGAGTAAAGGAGAATAAGAAATGATAGATTAAGAGGAAACCGTGCTTCAGTTATATGAGTGATAGGAGTGAAGAGTTTTTACCATATACTCAAAAAGCAATGATTCAACAGAGCTGAAAACATGAGATGTAAGTGGAAATCACTGAAATTTTTAACGTGCCTGTCAAGTCAACAGGAGGGACTGGGGTGGCGTTTGGGATGGGGAGGGAATCAGGAACACTGGTGGAGGGGATTTGACTCTGGTTGATGGATTGGAGTTGCATTGTTGTTTGCTTGAAAGCGAAATTATCAGTAATTTTGTAAATCATGACTCCTTAATAAGGTAAAGGTAAAAGGTAAAGGCCCTCCCGTTGATCGTCGATTTGCTCGAGCGGGCCTAGTAACATCTCCATTGGAGACTTTGTTGTTACTGTGTCTGGCATATCGAATACTCTCGGTAGCTTGCCGGGCTCTCAGAGAGGGACTCCTTAATAAAAGCTATAAAAATTAGAAGGTAGACAAAATTTAAAAAGCATAAAACAAGTATTTATTGAGCAATTGTGATTTAAAACAATATGAAAGCTGGGTTGATGTTTCCATAATTTTAATACTACCCCTGCCACCAAACTACACTTCCCTCAACCAGGATCTCAAAGGTCCCACCCATTCAAGGCCTTTCCCCACTAACTCAGTTCTGTGGAGCAACATTGAATTCTTCTGTCCTTGACCACTTCCTACCTAATGTACATCTTTTCATCTCACACATAAGAGAAATCATAATTAATCTATCTCGTTACTTGTGTCTTCTCTCATTATGGAACCCCCTAGTTCTTCATGTCCTGGCAAAATTCATTATTTTTCATTTTATATAGTTTCATAGTATCCCATTGTAAAAAATGACCACACCTTTTTGATCTATTCAACTGTAGTTGGGCATTTTGATTTTTTCCATATCTTTTTCATTGTAATAAGTGCTGAAATAAACATATGTGTGCACATACCCGTTCAAACAGATGTTTTGTTTTTTGAAGTAACCATCAAGTAGTAGAATGTTTGTAATGAATGGAGTTTCATTCCATTAGTTTTATTTTATTTTTTCTCATTAAAATTTTTATTTTTATAAAGTTCACAATATTTGATTATTTTTAATATTCAAACTCCAATTCCACCACCAGTACACCTTCCCACCACCATATTTTTTTTGCTCTTTTTGGGTCACACCTGGTGATGCTCAGGGGTTACTCCTGGTTCTGCACTCAGGAATTACCCCTCGCAGTGCTCAGGGGACCATATGGGTCTCTGGGAATCGAATCCGGGTCGGCCATGTGCAAGGCAAACGTCCTACCCCTGTGCTATTGCTCCAGCCCCAGCACCACCATATTTTGGATGTTTCCATTCCAAACCCCAACCCTGTCCCAAACAGGACCAAAATAATTTATTTTGTACTTTTTGTTATGAATAAACCGCTGAAAATGATACAAAAAACTTTCTTTAGAGGAGAGTGTGTGAAGATGGTTGTATTTCACCCAGGGGCCATTAAGTCCTTCTATAAGAGATTACTAATCTGTTGTTAAAGTTTGAGCCTTGTGTGCTTTTACACATACATATATATGTAAAAATATTATTCCCTCTAAGATTGGTTGTCTTGTACTTTAAACCCCATCAAATGTGGTGCACTACTCTTGGAAAATGAGTGGTGTGAGTTATGAGATGTCACGCAGCTACATTTGCAGCCGCGAGGTCCAGGGATAGGTTTACTCGCATTCCACTCATTTTAGATCTTCTTTTGTTTTCATCACAGCTTTTGCACTGAAAGCTATTCCCACCAAGATTGAAGGAGAACTCCTTTCTCACGACAGTTCCACCAGCACCTTCTTTTTTTCATGATATGCCCAACAAATTCTAATTGGTGTAAGATGATATATCATTTTAGTTTTAATCTGTATGTCCCTAATCACTAGAGCTGATGCAGAAGCTCTATTCATTTTTATTGGTATTTTTGGGTAACACCAGGCAATACTCAAGGTTTACTCCTGGCTCTGTAGTCAGGAATTACTCATGGCAGTGGCGGAGGTACCAAATTGGATGCTTGGGGATTGAACCTGGCTCGGTTGCATGCAAGGTAAACGCTAGCTGCTGTCACTCTAGTCTCTGATGCTCTATTTTTAAGGCTTTTAGAAATCTGCCAACAATTTCTTCAAAAGTAGGCTGAAGCAAGTAACAGTTCTACCAGTACTGAATGGGGGTCCTTTTTCATAAATCTCTGGTGGCACTCATGTTTCGGTAATTTTTTATACAAGACATTTTTGGCACTGTGCAGTAATATTTTGGAAGGAAAGATATCAAGGGGGGGACAGAATAAGAAGAAATGGGTAACAGGCATTAGGTCGTCAGTTATTCCTGTGATAGGAGTGAAGGGTGTAGTCATAAAGGGAAAGCACAGTTTCAACAGAAAACATGAAATGTGAGTGTCAACCACTGAAACTCTGTAATTTGCCTGTTAAGTGGGCAACTGGGGGGAGGATTGGTAGGGGTTGGTTTGACGAGGAAGCCTGGGAACACAGGTGGAGGGGAGTTGACACTGGTGGAGAGATTGGTATTGCATTTTCATATGTCTAACATGCAACTATCAGTAACTTTATAAATAGTGAGTCCATAATGAAAAAAATTAAAAATAGAATGCAGAAAAATTTAAAAATATATAAAACAAATATTTATGAGGTATTGTGATTTACAACACTGAATGCTGGGTTGATGTTTCCATAACTGCAACACCACACCAACCAACAGAGTATCCGCTTGCCTCCACCAGGATCCCAAGGTTCCCATCCATTCAAGCACCTTCCCTGCAAACTCATTCCTGGGGAGCAACTTCCTATTACTTCTGTCCTTGACTGCTTGTTGCTGCCTCAAATATACATCTTTGGATCTCACACAAGAGAGATAATTATGAATCTAACCTTTAACTTGTGTTTCCTCACAAAATGATGCTCCCTAGATTTATTCATGTTCTGGCAAACATCATTAGTTTTCCTTTTATACAGTTATATAGTATTCCACTCTGAAAATGACCACAATTTCTGATCCATTCATCTGTAGTTGAGCTCTTTGGCTTTTTATATACCTTTCTTATGGTGATAAGTGCTGCAGTAAACCTATGTGTGCATATATCTGTTCATACTGATGCTTTGTTTTGGGAAATAACAATCAAGAAATTATATCAGTGGATTGAACGGTGGTTCATTCCTAATCTTTTTTAGACCTGCATATTTTCACCACAGTTTTTCATCGAAAGGGATTCCCAACCAGATTGAAGGAAGGTTCATTTCTTACCACAATCCAACCAGCACTTTTTTTTTTTAGTTTTTCTTGATATACCCAATTCTCATTGGTGTTAGATGATATCTCATTATCTTTTGCTTTGCCTGTTCTTAATCACGAGTGCTGATGCGGAAGTTTTCTCTTTTCCTTATTTTGGTATTTTTGTCACACCAGGAGATACTAGGGGTTTATTCCTGGTTCTGAAATTTGGAGTTACTTTTGGCTGTGTTGGAGGGATCATATGAAATGCTGGGGATTGAAGGCAGGTCGACTGCATGCAAGGCAAATCCTAGCTGTTGTCCTATGACTCTGGTCCCTGACACTCCACTTTTAAATCTTTCAGAGGATTCCAAACAATTTTTGAAAAAATAGCCTGAAGCAAGTAACTATCCTACCAATACTTAATGGGAGGTCCTTTTTCATAACATTTCTGGCAGCACTAATGTTTCCATATTCTTTTCGTCAGGGCAATCGTACAGTGTGCAGGAATAACTCCGTGAAGACATAAAAGGTAAGATATCAAGGGGGAGAGAATAATACGTGATGAATTAATAGTGTTAAAGTTATACCAGTCATAGAAATGAAGGATTCATTCATTCATTCATTCATTCATTCATTCATCATCCTGTTATTCGTCGATTGCCTCGAGCAGGCCCCAGTAACGTCTCTTTCATCCTAGCCCTGAGATTATATTCAAGGCTCTTTAGGAGAATGAGACCCATCATTGTTACTGGTATTTGGCATATTTGGTAAGCCACAGGGAGTTTGCCAGACTCTGCCCTGTGGGCAGGCTACATTCGATACCCTGCAAGTTTGTCCAAAGTAGGAATGAGATAATAAGATGTCATAAAAAAGATGTCTTGATAAGATGTCGCGGCCGCGCGGTTCCAGGAGCTGGATTTTATAGTCTCTGAGTCTTGGCCGTTGATGGGATTACACGGCGCCAGGGGGCCAGTTGGTGGGTGTGACCCCCGCCTACTGGAATTTGGAGGATCTGGGTGGAGGATGCTCGACTCCAATCTGAGTAGGCTTGGAGATTTCGGCCCCGGAACCCGCGTGGCTTTGTCCCTCTGCCAGTACCTTCATGTGTGCGGAGAGTGGTCTCAGCATGGTGGTGGCTGGTCCTGGAGGTCTTCCGCTGCCGGATCCCTGGTCGGGGAGGGAAGGAAAGCTCAACCCGCTCCCCTCCAAGGGACCCCGGCGAGGAACAGCCAGGCGCAGGGGCAAGAGACTGCACTGGTCTCGTCCGGGAGCTGGATTTTATAGTCTCTGAGTCTTGGCCGTTGATGGGATTACATGGCGTCAGGGGGCCTCGGGTTGAGAAATGAAGGATATAGCCATATATGCAAACACTGACTCAACAGGAAAATAAAAGAGATATAATTACAACCACTGAATATTTGTATGTGCCTGTCAAATAGAGAGGAGGGGGTGGTGTGGGTGTTGGGATGTAAAAGGATCTGGGTGGAGAAGAGTTGACACTATTGGAGGGATTGATGTTGAATCGTTGTATGCCTATCCTGTAGCTATTACGTTGTAAACAATGCATCCTTAATAAAAATTTTAAAATAGAGGACAGAAAAAAATTTTTTAAAATGTACTTATTAAGCAACGTGATTTGTTAACACTATGAATTATGGGTTGGAGTTTCCATAATTGCAATACCACACCCACTACCATACTATCCACTTGCTTCCACCAGGATTCCAAAGTTCCCATCCATTCATGCATCTTTCCTGTTAACTCATTTCTGGGGAGCAACTTTCCATTTCTTCTGTCCTTGACCACTTTTTGCTACCTCGATATACTTCTTTGAATCTCACAATGAGAGATCATTATGAATCTATGCCTTAACATGTGTCTATTCTCAATATGATACCCACTAGTTCTATATAATATGATATACCAACTAGTTCTATATGATATCTCAATATGATACCCACTAGTCTTTGTAAACCTCCTAACTTTGTCCTTTTATAGAGTTGCATAGTATTCCATTGTGAAAATGACCACAATTTCTTAATGCATTCATCTGTACTTGGAACTGTTTTTCCCATATTTTTCTTATTGTAATACGTGCTGCAATGAACATAATTGTGCAACATTTGTATAAATTGATGCTTTGTTTTTGGAAGTAACCATCAAGAATCTGTATCACTGGATTGAATAGAGTTTCATTCCTACTCTTTTTTAAAATTGAATCACCGTGAGCTACAGTTACAAAACTTTCATGTTTGAGTTTCAGTCATACAATGATCGAACACCAGTCCCATTTTCTACCACCAATGTCCCCGTCCCCAGTATCCTTCCCCCCGTCCCACCCCTATTTTTGCCTCTATGGCAGACAATTTCCCTCTTTCTCTCTACTTATGGGTATTATGGTTTGTAGTACAGATAACGAGTGGCCATCATGTTTGGTCCTTTATCTACTTTCAGCACACATCTCCCATCCCGAGTGATCCCTCCAACTATCATTGACTTAATGATCCCTACTCTGTCCCGGCTGCCTTCCCCCAAGCTCATGAGGCAGGCTTCCAACTATGGAGCAATTTTCGTGGCCCTTGTCTCTGCTGTCCTTGGGTTTTTTTAGTCTCATAATATGATATTTTATATTCCACAAATGAATGCAGTCATTCTATGTCTGTCCCTCTCTTTCTGACTCATTTCACTTAGCATGATACTCTCCATAGACATCCACTTATAAGCAAATTTTGTGACTTCACCTCTCCTAACAGCTGCATAGTATTCCATTGTGTAGATGTACCAGGGTTTCTTTAACCAGTCATCTGTTCTCGGGCACTCAGTTTTTTCCAGATTCTGGCTATTGTAAACAGTGCTGCAATGAACATACAGGTGGAGATGTCATTCTGGTTGGCCTCTTTTTTTTTTTTTTTAGAAACTCATTTATTTCACAATTTTTCTCTGAAAGGTATTCCCACCAAGATTGAAGGAGGGTTCATTTCTCACCACAATCCCACCAGAACTGTTTTTTTCCCTGATAGTTTTTACATACCCAATGAATTCACATTGTTGTAAGGTAATATTTCATTCTATTTTTGATTTACATGGCCATAATCACCAATGTTGATCCAGAAGCCCTACACTTTTTTGGGTATTTTTGGTTACAACAGGCGATATTAAGGGGTTTACTGTTGGCTCTGCATTCAGAAATAACTCCTGGCAGTGCTCAAGAGACTATATGGTATGCTGGAATCGAACCCGTGTCGGTGGTGTGCAAAGAAAACCCTAGTGACTGTCCTATGACTACAGTCCTGGATGCTGTATTTTTAAGACTTTCAGAAATCTGGAGACAACTTCTGCATAAAAAGGATGAAGTTGTAACAGTTGTACCATACTGAATGGGGGGGAGGTTCATTTTTCTCATTTTTCTAACTTCTATGGAGCACTGCGTGGGTGGTCGTGCGAGAGTGCCAGCTGGAGCGATAGCACAGCGGGTAGGGCGTTCGCCTTACAAGTGGCCAACATGGCCGACCCGAGTTTGATTCCTCCGCCCCTCTCGGAGAGCCCGGCAAGCTACCGAGAGTATTCGATATGCCAAACACAGTAACAACAAAGTCTCCAATGGAGACGTTACTGGGCCCGCTCAAGCAAATCGATGATCAACGGAGGGCCTTTACCTTTACCTTTACCTTTTATGGAGCACTCGTGTTTTGGTGATTTTTTAATACAAGGAATGCTTGCTCGTATGCAGTAATATCCTCACACAGACATAGAAGGAAAGATATCAAGGGGGGAAAGAGAATAAGAAGTAATGCGTTAACAGGCACCAGTGCCTCAGTTTTACCAGTGATAGGATAGAAGGGTACAACCTTATAGGCATGCATAACAGAGATTTAACAGAGCTGAGCGCATGAGATGTTAAGTAGCAGCGATTAAACTTTGTAATTTGCCTGTGAAGTGGACTGGAGGGAGTGGAGTGGGACTTTGGTTCAGGAGGGAATCCGGGATCATGGGTGGAAGGGAGTTGACACTGGTGGGGGGATTAGTATTGCATTGTTGTATGCCTAAAAGCAATTATAGGTAACTTTGTAAACAATGAGTCCTAAAAATTAAGAAATGGAAGTTAGAAAAATTAAAAATAGACCCATAATAACACATACTAATTGAGGCAATGTGATTTACAACACTATGAATGCTGGGTTGCTGTCTCCATAATTGTAATACCACACCCACCACTATAGTATCCACTCTCCACCAGGATCCCAAACTTTTCATCCATTCAAGTGCCTTTCCTGCTAACTCATTTCTGTGGAAGATCTTTTCATTTTTTTAAATACTTGAACACTATTGCTACCCCAATATACATATTTGAATCTAAAACACGAGAGAGATCATTATGAATATATCCAGTAACTTGAGTTTACTGTCAAAATTACACTCCCTAATTTTATCCATGTCCTGGCAAACTTCATTAGTTTTTATTTTATACAGTTGCACAGTATTCCACTGTGAAAATGACCACAATTTCTTGACCCATTCATCTGTAGTTAGGCAGTTGGCTTTTTCCATATCTTTTTTATTTGTAATAAGTGCTGCAATAAACCTACATGTGAGTATAACAGTTCATACTGATGTTTTATTTTTGGAAGTAACCGTAAAGAATTTATGTTGCTGGACTGAATGGATCTTCATTCCTAATCTCTTTTAGACCTTCATTTTTATTCACCACAATTTTTGTACCGAAAAGAATTCCCAACAAGAATGCAGGAGAGTTAATTTTTCATCAAAGCCCCAAGAGCGTTGTTTTTTGTTTTTTGAGATTTCTTGATATACCCAATGAATTCTCATTGGTAGAAGATGACTTCTCATTTTTGTTTTGATTTGTATGTCCCTAATCACTGGTGCTGACACAGAAGCTCTTTTTTTTGTATTTTTGGGTCATACCAGCTGATATTCAGGCTCTACACTCAGGAATTACTCCTGGAATTGCTGGGGTACAATACGGGATACTGGGGATTGAACCCGGGTTGACTGAGACCAACACAAATCCTAGTCACTATCCTATAACTCCGGTCTCTGATGGTCTCATATTTAGCCTTTGAGAAGTCTGCCAACAATTTCTTCAAAAAAGAGACTGAAGCAAGTAACAGTCTTACCAGTACTGAATGTGGGTTCCTTTTCCATCTTATCTCCCGTAGCACTCATGTTTTGGTAATTTTTTTACACAGCGCATTCTTGCTGGTATGCAGTAATATCCAGTAATATCTTCACACAGACATACAATGAATGATATAAAGTGTGTGTGGGGGGGAGAGAATAAAAAGCAATGAGTGAAAAGTCATCAGGGCTTCATTTATACCATTTTTATGAGTGAAGGGTGTAGCTGTATTCGTAAAACACAGGATCAATAGACCTTAAAACCTGAGATAGTGGCAACCTCTCACCCTCTGTAATTTGCCTGTTTATTGGACAGAATGGGTTGAGTAGAGGCTGGATGAGCAGAGACTCCAGGAACACTGGTGGAGGGGTGTTGTCGTTGGTGGAGGGATT